TCCACCAATTAGCGTTTGTGCAGCTTGTGTGCTTCTGTGGAGTAAAAGTTGTCTGAGTATGTTAGTCATGGTCTCAAGTGCAGACACGTCTGTGGGGGCGGAGTTGAACCCAGTGCCTTTGGGACCTGAGAATCCTGGTGTGGTAGGATTGGGAGATGAACACCCTGACTTGACCTCTCTCACCCTGAATGCCTTCTGCCTTGTTTTGTACCACACCGACAGTATCCGTACGCCAAAGCTCTGCCAAAGTTCCACAGGCTGAATTACACTCAAGTGGCCTTGTAGCCAGTGTTTGATCCTCAGTGTCTCAGCTCCAAAAAAAAAAAAAAAAAAAAAAACTCAGGTCGTGTGGATTTACAGGTTTGTCGGCACTCCAGAATATGCAAAACCTGTAAGAAAACATAAATTCTTGATAGTGATATTTTAATAACTTAAAATTCACAATTTGGCCAAATAAATAAAGCAGAAAAAAAAAGTTTATTTATTTCTCCTGGAAATATACCGGTACATAAACAGATGTGTTTCTTTGTAGTGATAGTTGTAATAATGAATGATAATAAGATGTGAATGACGTTCCAGAACATTAACGCATCACTGTCTGTTAACACAGTGGAGAAGGAGCCAGGGCTTGAACCAACCATGTGACTGCAGTTCTTACTTGTGTTTGAGTTCAACAGAGTTTTATTAGCAGCTTCAGGTAGAAGTTAAAAGGATCCAGTGACTGAAGGTAATTTATTTTATTTTTTTTTCTTTCTTTCTCCCGTGCACTGCATTATTTAATCTCCTTTCACTGAGTCCTGAAGCACTGATGTTTTTCTGTAGCTCTCACACACACACACACACACACACACAAAGTCACTTTTTTGTCACTTTATGAGTTTAATTTCAGAATATTTGAATGTGTGGGAGAGTGAGTGAGAGTTCTTCTTTGTTTGACTGAACTTTTATACTAATAGACAGTTTGTGTCAGAATTGTACATTTTCTTTTTTTTTTTCTTTTTTTTGAGCATATTTAAATAAAAACATGTGTGAAACAGGCTGATAGTGGATGGAACGCATCATCTTGATTCCAAAAGGGAAAGAAAATTTCAATATTTTACTAAACAGATGGATTGGGTCACATTTAAAAGTCAAAACTACAGAGGAGCCTCAGATGAGGGCGGTGCTGTCTGGATGTCACATGATCAGCCACTCACACACAGTCAAGTAAAGGGAAATATTTTTATTTTATCTTACACCCAAAAAACAAATCACTCATTTTTTAGGGTTGCGTAATTTGCCAGTTCCTGTTCTGGATCAAAGATAACGTCTTAATTTCTCACCAAGACCAGTTAGAATTGAACATAATCTTATTGAGTCGTTTCAAACTTAATACGTTTTGTGCAACTGAACAGAAGTGATTTTTTTTCCCCCATTAGTTGAAAAGAAAAAACTAACTTAATTAAAAATAATTAAAATGACTCCAGATTAGGTTGAAATGAAATGTTTATCACAGCATAATTCAACCTGCTAGTTTTAATTTCATCTTTGAAACATTTTTCATTCTTCTGTCAAAGACAAAGCGTCTGCGTGTGTCATTATAGCAGCTTTGGTTGGAAATGTTTCTGTGGTAATGACAAAGCTGTGTGATGTCAGTCTGTCTGGTGTTTCACACTTGAAGTCATTCAACATTTAGGAAGGAAGTGTGACGCCGGCTGATTTTCTGTCGGATTACCGACAACAAAAACTGTTGTCCTGAAAAGAAAGCCTCAAAATTGAACAGAACCCACATTTACAGGTGAATAGAAATGGAATCTCTGTAATGTGATGTCATTCAAACACAACATTAATTTATAATATAGTCACATATTTATTCTCACTTAATGATAAAAGTATTTCCCCAGTGCCTTTGGGCAAGGCACAGATTTTCTTAGTTCATTAATAGAAGCAAGCTTTGGGCAAGGCACAGATTTTCTTAGTCAAATTAATAGAAGCAAGATTATTATTATTTTTGTTGTTGTTGTTATTGTTTATAAATATCCATAAATACTGTGTACTCAGTCTGTTGTGTACATTTTCCTTTTCAGAATAACACACCTGTGTGTCTTGTTGGACGTGAACGCAGCACACGTGCCTCATTAAGATGAACGGCTTCAGAACAGAAGAGTGTTCTTCAGCTGTTCTCTGCAGCTGCCGCCGCTGCCGTCGCTGCTGTCGCTGCCGTCGTGGCTGCTGCAGCAGGCAGGTGCAGCCACCGTGTGCTGAGCCCTGTGCGCTCAGCAGCGTAATCAGCCGCAGCCATGAGGGGATCAACGTGACTGTCTGTCCCACGTCCTGACGATCGCAGCGGACGCCCCGCGGTCATCGTCCACGGGCTGCAGCACGTGGCTCGCACGCTGTTGTTGACTGCAGTCGCTCCACAATGGAGCCAGTCTGATAAACACCGACACATTATTATTGTTATATTATTATTATTATTGTTAATACTAATAATAATGTGTCGGTTGTTACGACATGTTATTACATTTATCATTATTTTAATAGTAAACGTTATTTTTAACGTGACAAAAAAAACACGTCAATCTACCTTTAAACAGTGACTTTACATTTTGTGCTTTTTTTTAAATTGGACTTTTTATTAGATTGAAATATTTTATTGTTGGTTTCTTTTGTTGGAAAAAATAATCGTTGTCATTCTGATCATTATATATGTTTGGTTTTTTATAGCATTATTTCTTTTATGGAGAATGGCGTATGTGAAAAAACGAATTGACAAATTCCAAATTTAATCTTTTTTTTTTTTATTGACTTTTTTTTTTTTTTTTTTTTTTTTTCCTCTTGAAGTTTCTTTCTTTTGTCTGATATCATCGTTCAGCTGTTTTAACGCCGTCTTTCTGACTTCTCTTCTCTTTTCTTTTTCCTCTGCTTCTCCTCCGACTCTAGATAAACTACCACACCCTCACGTCTCGTGCACCGCGCCTGTTTAAAGCCTGTCTCTGCTTGGCTGCCAGCACGTTCCGTGCGCCGTGGCGGGCAGGGCTGCCGAGCACTTGTTTCCATACACTTTCAGCGTGGAGGTACACGGGATCGGACAGTCTCCGCCTCCTGCGCTGACGTGCGCCGCAGTCCGCCCACTGAGGCTCCTTATCCGCACGAAGTGGGCGGTCCCTGCGGCCAGGATTCAGCGCCGTTTAACACGTGAGCCTCATGTGACAGAGGCAGGTCAGGCTAACGCACAGGCAGAGGCTTTATCTGACTCCCCTCTCTGTCCTCCCCCAGTCTCCCGACGCGCTAACCAGGAGCTTTACCTTCTTTACGCAGCGATACAACGACTTGAAGTCGCTCTGCGGGGATTTTACAACAAAAACAGAAAAGAGAAGAAAAAAGAAGAGACACCTGTCTGTGAATTTCTGTCTATTTTCAAGCAGATTTATTTTTATTTTTGCATTTGACCGACGGCTGACTTCGAATTTAAACCGTGTTTTACTGAGTAAATGCGCGCTTTTTTGTGAAGAATTTGGAAAAAAGACTGACTTTTAGTGCGTAACTGGAAGTTTAAAAAACAAAAAAAGAAGAAAGAAAGAAAAAAAGAAGAAGAAGAATGGAGCGGATTCCAAGCGCGCAGCCTCCTCCTCCTCCTTCTCCTCTTCCTCTGTCCAAACACCAGGCTTCTCTGTCAGACGTGCAGGGGTAAGTCACAGTTTCACAGCAAAAATTTAAATTTATTTTTAACCAAATACAGTGTCTAAAAGTCTAAAATGTGTTTAATTTTAAATGTTGTTTTCTTCAGGATGGATTTCCCCATGTATGTGTATAAACCCCGGCGGGGGATGAAGAGAGGAGACGAAAACAAGGTAATTAGTTTGAATTTTCCTTTTTTTTTTTTTTTTTTTAAATCTAAGATTTAAACATTTTTGAAAGCCCATTTACAACTTATCGACTTCCATAAACGGCTGACCCATTTTCTGCTGTGACATAACTGCTGGAGACCTCCCCCGGTGTGTGTGTGTTCGTGTGTGTGTGTGTGTTCGTGTTCTAACCACCACTGTCTCTCTGTTTGTGTTCGACTGCAGGAAACCTACAAACTGCCTCACAGGTTGATCGAGAAGAAAAGGAGGGACAGGATAAACGAGTGCATCGCGCAGCTGAAAGATTTATTACCCGAGCACCTGAAGCTCACAGTAAGTTTCATTCTGGGAAGGATCACCAGATCCCCGTGCTGTGAAGAGCATGCTCCATCGAGTGGCTGCTCGGAGGTATCACATCCTCTGTGCGTCATCACTGAAGCATGTGTCTGCTGTCACGTTTCAGTCGCACATAAAAAAAAATCAAAAAAAGAAAATCCAATTTAATGTAGATATTCTTATTATTTTTGACATTGGAAATTTGACTTTTTTTTATTGTCAATTTGTTTTAAATTTAAAGAAGCCAGGCTGCTTTCACTGTAGTATTGACCTCTGCTGTTAAAGGCTTCAGTCTAAGTTTGGAAAAAAAAAAAAAAAAAAAGGAAAAGTGCTCTCATTAAAAGGATCTTAAAATAGATCCTCCTTAAACCCCCCGATGAGTATTTCATGTATAAGTGTGTAGTTAAGCCTGTCGATGATAAGGTTATAAAAGATGTGCTGACTCTCTCCCTCTCCCTCTCTGTCTCCCTCTCTCTCTCTCTCTCCTATAGACTCTGGGCCATCTGGAGAAGGCGGTGGTTCTAGAGCTCACACTCAAACATGTGAAAGCTCTCACCTCTCTCCTGGAGCAGCAGCAGCAGAAGATCCTGGCTCTGCAGAACGGCATCCAAGTCGGTAAGTTACCAGGGAACGACTGATGACAGTCAGCCAATGGACTAATAACGCCGATATCAGTCAATCAATCCCTTTAGAACCAAACGCGATCAGAGTAACAACAGTTTGTAACTTCAGCGGGAAGTTTGTATCTACATCAGGGCTGTCAAACATACGGCCCGCGGGCCAAAATTAGTCCAGGGTTTCAGTCTGACCCATACGGCCCGCGGGCCAAAATCGGCCCACCGGGGTTTCAGTCTGACCCTCTCAATGAATTTTGAAATTTAAAAAAATGTATCATAAACTTCATATCCATGATGTTTTAAAAAAAACTTTTACTTCTTGGCATGAAAAACAAAAGGGGTAAAAACATGGACTTATTGTTTGAGGTCCCTGACCTTCATGGTCCAAGAGGGTTCTTTATCAACAGTGATCTCCCCCTCCCCCCCTTGAAATCTAATGTCAGTTTTTGACGGCCATGTTTTTTTGGTTCTGTTCAACAGAACAGCCTTCTCTGAGCCAGGAGAAGTCAGAGGAGATGTTCTGCTCTGGCTTCCACATGTGTGCCAAGGAGATCCTGCAGTTTCTAACCAATCAGGAGAGTCACGATAGCTTCAGACCAACAGACGTGATCAGTCACCTCCACAAGTTAGTGGCAGATGTGCTGCAGAGTCCAAACAGACCACGCAGCCCTGCCACCCCTCACCACGAGAAGACCTCCTCCTCCTACCACCACCAGCACCAGCAGCACCAGCACCAGCACCAACCTCACAAAGAGATCCACGCCAACTTACCTCCTAAACCGCGAGAAGGCTACGGTCAGAACTGCGTTCCCGTCATCCAGCGGGCGTACGCCCCGGTGAGCAACGAGCAGAGCGGCAGTGACACAGACACGGACAGTGGCTACGGAGGAGAGTTGGAGAAGAACGAAGCCGGCGAGGCACAGGGCCGTCCGGAGTACTACGGCCAGGAGAGCCAGCTGAAGCGGCCGCTGGAGGAGCATCAGAGCTCCGGCATCAAGCAGGAGGAGGTGGAGCCACGCCACAAGCGGCCCCGGGTGGAGTCCTCTGAAGACGAGGGGCTCTCAGGTGGCGAGTCCTCCACGTCCTCCAGCGGTTACAGCAGTTACATGAGCGCGTCTCCCAACCGCCCCGCGCCGCCTCACCCCCTCTGTATGCCTTTCTACCTCATTCCACCCTCTGCTGCTGCAGCCTACCTGCCCATGCTGGAGAAATGCTGGTACCCCGGGGCCGTGCCCATGCTCTATCCTGGTGTGGGAGGAACAGCGCCGTCCATGTCCAGTGAAAGACCGTCTCCTCCTCAGCTGGTGATGTCTCCCAGAGGAGGCTCTCCAGCTCCAGCTATGTCTCAGAGCCCCATGGACTCCCCCGCCCTCCTTCAGGCGCTGAAGCAGGTTCCACCTCTTAACCTAGAAACCAAAGACTGAAGGAAAACAGGGGGCGCTGTTTTAATGTTCAAAAGCAGAGACAGTGGTAGGAGAGGAAGAAGAAGAAAACTGAGCCGTTATCATAACCCACCCCTCGGTCCTCCGGTCTGTTGGTCAGCCTGGAGGTCACGCAACGGATCTGAGGAGTAGTGGTTGACGGAGGGAGCAGCTTCTGTCCGGGGAGGATTCAAAGCTCACGTTGAATGTTAAATATCCAGTGATATTAATCAGTGCAAATGTATCATACGGTATGAAATGGCCCCGGCCTTCATACAGAGACGCTCTCTCTTGGTTGAATGTAAAAGAAAGACATGTTTTAGATGCTGCTGTTTTAAGTATAAACAAAAAACAAAAAAACAAACGCCGACGACACTGATGCATTTCACCCGTAGCTGTTGAGATGGAAACTTGCCATTTAGAAATTGTTGCACCAAATGTCAGTTGTATAATATCACCCCAAAGTCTGTCATCTACCTGTAAGTCGGCGGCGCTGTCGTCCAGACACTGTGATGACGGGAGTGAAACTACATCCAGTCCATGGATGGATGAGCGGCCGCCGCAGGCTGACGCTGAATGAGAAGTCTCTGTGTTGGTGTAATTATTGTTCATAGGTCTTTTGTACATTTCTGTTTTGTTTTTTTTTGGGTTCCTGTCCTTGTTCTCTGTCCATCAGGTGAGATGACAGGAGGGCAGAGTGTGGACACTTGTCTGTGGTGTACTCAGAACGACTGTGGACATACTATGTAGCACTGTGCTGGACCAGGTCTGCCTACTCCTCATCTGTTTTTTTGCTCAAGTCAAACCCGGTGTTTGCTCTTGCCGTTGCCTTTAACTCGTGAAAAAGCTGATAAATCTCAGATGTTCTTTCTCTGTGCAGCGTATGAATAGTGGTGTCAGAGCAGCGAGGAGGCGAAGACGTGAATGTAAGTTTTACCAGAGGATTAGTTTTCTACAGAAAGAGGTACTTGAGATTTTATATTTTGGGACCTACGTGAGAGCTATTGGATGTACATATTTTTGTCTATAAATGTTGATATACAATATAAGTGTATTAATAAAGTATTTTTTTTCTTCTCAGTGTAAACGGGCTTGGTCTGTACATGTATGAAGGAGTGTGTGTGGGAGGGTGGGGTGAAAACACGTAGCTATGAAATTCAATCGGTTCAGATTTAGTTCAAAACATTCACAGGGAACACTTATGTAATGACGGGGCTGTAGCCTGACTCTCCTGCTGCCGACCCGTCTGTGCCCAGGAAAACAAGTAAACACACCACTACAAACAGGTTGCATCAGCTCAAAACCAGAAGAAAATATATCCGGGTGTATGTAAATATATAGATATATATTTACATATATATTTATATATTTATAAAAAAAATCTAGTTAAAATAAATGAAGCTCTCTTCTGTGTATGTGTGTATATACATATATGTTTATATTTATGTTATAAATGTATACATATATGTATTTATATATGTATATGCATGTGTAATGTATTTATAACATATATTCATTTATTTATGTCTAATATGTATTTATAACATAACATATATATATATTCATTTATTTATGTCTAAATATACATGTTTAAACATATATTTACACATATTTAAAAATGTCTTTTGTATGTATACAAGCATTTGTTTTTTTTATTTTTTCACTTTAATTGGTCCTTAGGGCAAATATCATGTGGTTAATGTCACATTTTATTTATTTATTTTATATATAATGTGATTCTAGTAAATGACTGTACTTTACCAAGAATCCATCCATATTCACTTTTAAATGATCAGTTTTTTAAACCATGTTTTTTCTATATATTTCATATTAGTTTAAATGAATCTTATGTCTCATTTATTTATTTGATTTTTTTTTTTTTTTTGTAATGACTTTTTCCTCCTGTGGTGAAGGCCTGTTTGTCCGGCAGTGAGAAGCTGCTCCGTGAGCCGTGACACTGATCTGACTCGGTTTCACAGCATATTCTGACACCGTGACTTTTATTGAAGGCTGAATCTCTGATTAAGCAGGTGTTGCGTAAGCTGAGCCAACCTCCATGTGAGAGGCTGCACTTTCTTTCCTGGAAGACTGAATATAAACTGGATGGACAATGCAAATGCCGAGCCTTTATTGCCACCCAGTGGACAGAGAGAGCACCTGCACCCAGACTCTTTATATAACACAGTGAGTTCAGTTGTCCTCAAAAGGTAAAACACGTGAGAAAAATGTCCTCTGCTAATTTGATCGTTCTGATCAGTTTTTTTTAAATTAAATTCTAGAAGGATTTTGGATTTTGTTTTGATGTGCTGTGAACGTGATGGTTCCGTGTCTGCCTCATAAAGTGCTGTTTTGTAAAATATAAAAATTCGATTAAGAAGCTATCCTGTTTCACATTATTAGTTTAGTTTAGCAGGGTTTTTTTTTTTTTTTTTAGAAAAATAAGTATGCCACACCCTCTGAAATGTTGGGACAGATTCTAAGTAGAACTGAAAAGATCACATAACAGTCAGGAAACTAGAGCACACTAGAACACACACACACCACATGTGTGTGTGTTGTGTAGTAACTGTATGGTAATGAGGTCAACATGGCTGTTTCACCATATTATTTTCAAAACTGCTTCCTGTCCGTTCCGTCCACAGAACTCTCAGTTCCACTTGTTACTGTTTTCCAGAACAATCTTCTTTATATTTTGCCATGGTTTGTCTGCGAGGACAGAGGAACGAGTGATGCCTGTAGAAGCTGCGATGGGAGGACAGACTGAGACAGGCGGCGGCTCCAGACACTACGTTTGGTTTGAGGCTGAAGACGTCCAGGGTTGGGAGAGGACCTTGCAGCGAAGGACAGGCCCGTGGAGGAGTTCTGTGCTGGGACTCAACCACTGCCTGAGGAAGGGAGAACCGGGTGACATGTGATGTGGGAAGTTGTTGACTGGGCTTAGGTTTCTGAGTGGAGCCGAGGGAAAAAGAAAGACTTCGTGGAACCAGGCTGGTTCTGTTGGCACTGTGACGCAAACGCTGCTTTTTTCTCTGTGTTACTGTTCCTGCTGCTCTAGGCTGATCACTGTCACGAGGTCGGGGAGGATTCTGAGAATTGTGAATCTCTCTTCTCCTCTCATGTAACTTCTTGGTAGAAGTCGTTGCGGTCTGTGTCTTTTTGTCTCTCACAGTTTGATTCTCTTTGCACGAAAGGCCGCAGGAAGTAACTCTGTGAAGCTGCTGCAGCGGAGGTTGACGTGTTCTGTCGTCCTGTACCGAAGAAGTCTGGTCTGAGGGGAACTGGATGGACAGACACGGCTGAGGTAGATGTTTGGATCTTCTGACAGCGGCTCCTTCCACCAGCAGGTTCATGCCGATGTACTGAGGAACTTCGACTGCAGGCTGGAAAAACAGGTAAAAAAAAACCAAAAAGACAAATCAAATCAGATCTGTTTGTCGGTGTCGCTCCTCCGTTCTCCGTCCGCTCTTCTCTGTTTTCCCACCTGTTTGTAGATGAGCTGGAATCCTCCGGTGTAGGCTGCGGAATCCGCCCGCCAATCCAGCACCACCCTCAGTGTGTCCAGCTGCACGGCAGGGCAGAGGCGGGCGGTCACAGCGGTGGAGCAGGCCATGGTGGGACTGGCATTGATCTCCAGGAGCCAGGGCCTCAGGTCTGGGCCCAACATGAAGTCCGCTCCGTACAGCTCAAAGCTGGCCTTACGAGGCTCAACCAGGTCCTGAGCCGTCTGCAGGGCGTGGACCACTGCCTTCTGCATGCCCGGGACCACCACCTTCTCCCACGTGTTCCCCAAACCCTTCTGCTGCAGGAAGGCCTTAAACTGGGAGCAGGACCACATGTTGTCCGACGGTAACCCTGGGTGGCGGTCACGGGAGGGTTGGAAGTGCTTCTGGATGGAGTTGTTGCAGAGGTGGACGGAGCTGAGGACAAGGTGGAGACGACTGAAGGTTTGAGACAAACTGGTGAGTAGAAGAACGTGTTAACTGTTGGTATCTGAGTCACCGACCTGTTGAGGTTTTTGGTTGAATAGGGCTGAGTGGAGAACCGCAGGTAGCACTCTCTGTAGAACCACACGGTCAGGGGGTTCCAGTCTGTCACCAGGAACCACTGACGGAGGTCAAACTTGGTGGCGTGGACCAACAGAGGACGTTCCAGATATTTCTGAACCACCCACTTACTCTCCTTGTTAATGGCTCTGTCTAAGTCAACCAGAGCCAACACGTCCTCCAGGCGGTTCAGGCACAGGATGCCTGTGTAAAACAGGACAGTCAAAAAAGAATGTGGCAGAACTGTGAAGCACTTCCTGTCACTCACCACGCCCTCTTGACTTGGCCCCTGGTTTGATGATCCAGATGTTGTCCAGTCCATCTGTGTCCAGCTGGGGGCAGCACTCCTGCAGTCTGGTCAACATGGTCTGACAACGCTGCACAAACGCACCGCTACCTCCGATCACTGCACCTTCACTGTGAACACATGGCTGTTAAAGGACTCAAACATTTCATTATGTCAGATAAAAAATTAAAAAATTAAAAGGTAATGTTTCATTACACATACTACGTAGTATCCAAGTATCCATGAACAAACTCACTGCACAACCAGGTAGTAGTTCTGCAGGAACTCCGACCAACGCTGCTCCTCCTCCTCTGGCTGCGTTTCCACGGTGACATCAATGTCGCCGTGCTCTAAGATGCTGAGGAACTCCTCACACACCTGTAACGCCGTGTCAATCATCTCCGGGCCGACGCAGCGCTGCTTCAGATTTTTTAATCCTTTGAAAGAAAATGAGGGTACGTATATATTTAATTACATTTATACTTGTTTTCTGTACCTGAGGTCATTCGGTGTAAATGTCTCACTTTCAGAAAGTGCTTTTCGTTCCTCGACCTCTGCTCCTCCTCTCCTCCATGATTCAACCACGTGCTGCAGCAGACTGGTGCACGCCGTCCTCCTGAAGTCCTCTGAGGAGTTCACAGTTTCACAGAGGTAGGAGATATTCAGAATAATGTATTCAATAATGTAACATGTGACAAGTCATCCTCACTTTTTACATTTTTAAAATATTTTTTCCATCCTCTCCACCACCTATAACCTGAATATATGTTTATATGTCGAAACACATGTTTTATATGTTTATACATATGAGCTGTAATGATTTTCTCTCTCTCGTTAGGTCACTACTGTAGACTGGAGTCAGGGTCTGAATGTCCTTCAGGCCAAGGACCCCCCCAAGTCCATGGTGAGATGGAGCAGTGACCCTTACTGCACATGACTTATTCTATACTTGTCTTAGGTTACTGTAGTACACTACGGTATCATTGTGTTATTAAGTACTGAGTAAATCAAATAGTACACACGCTCATACTGTATATTTAAACATAAAAATTAAAAATATAAAGTAGTACACACGCTCATACTGTATATTTATACAAATATATAAACAAACCTTGTCTAATTAACTGAAGTACCTCCACAGACACTCTAGGGGTCATTAACCCCCGGTTGAGGACCTCTAGCATCAGCCGGTTCATTTCCTACTTCTGTCTTTTTTTTGTTTGTTTTTTTTTTACCATCGGTGAAGACGCTGCTGATTCAAACTACTGATATTAAACTGGAATTACCAGACTGGTAGGTTTTCCTATCGGTACGAAAAAGCAACAAGAGTCCTGCCCAGGGACACATCAGCATGCAAACTAGTCAAATCATCTTAATCCAAAGACGGATCCGATTCTTCTTCTGTTACCAACGTCGTGACAGGAAGTACGGTTTCAAAGTGGAACATCAAACCTATGAAGGACTGCCTTTCGTCCTGGGCTCCCAGTCTGTAACATCTGGGGAAGAAGGAATCAGGATCTGCCGCGTCGAACCACTGCAGGTTTCTCAGGTTCACACACAGCCCCACCTGTAACGTTCAAACACCGTCAGGAACAAGTACGACTACGGTTGCTTGGTCCACAGGACGTGAACGGCACCTTGGTGGTAAACGTTCCTGCATTGGCGTAGTGATTGGTGATTTGGTCGCTGAGTAAAGAGCGACAGTCGACGTAATCTCGTCGCGTTGTCCAGTAGAAATACGGCGTTTCATTTCGAACCAGACGAGACTGAAACAAACCAAAAAACAAAGTTTTGAAAAAAGCAACCGATTATTTTCAAGGGTTTTATCCAAGGCTGGAGAGAACGTTTTCCTACCATGAGCTCGTAGACGTCGTCGAGGTTCTCCTCTTTCTCGCCCTCTGCCAGCCTGTCTGAAAACACATCAGCGGGGTGTTTGGTTTTGGACGAGCTTATCTACCCAGGGTGGGGGACCAGGGGGCAGGGGTCTGTGTCATATGCTGCAGGATGCATTATTTATCAGGTGAGGGGATTATGGGATTAGCGCTCCCATTACATATAGGTTAGAGGTACTACAGTGTGTAGTATTAAGCAGTATCTGGAGGTAAAGTTACCTGCTGTGGTTGAACGTCCTTCACGTCATCATCTAACATTAGTAGGTTTGTGGACTAATGTGTTAAAATGTGGTCGTCAATCAGTGGTGCATTCTGGGTAAAAATCAAGGGCAGGAACTGCTGCTAAATGTCCATTACCTTTCCCTGCTAATTCAGTATACACGTATACTGTGGTACTATGACAGGAAAATACTGCCACCTCTAGGGAAAAAATATGTGTAAAACACACGTGTTCTTATCGTCTCACCAGTCACGTCAGCACAGGCGTCACCTTCGTCACCGTCCTCCTCCTCGTCTCCATGACACGCGGACGGTATCTGCGCCGGTCGGGGCAGACGCCGCTCCACCCACCCTCTGGCCCACAGGGCGGCACGGATGACGGGATAAGGCCCCTGCACTGAGAAGACTTTCCTCAACTGGTGCGTGGTGAACAGAGGAGGAACAAAATCACAGAGTT